CAACCTAAACGATTCTATGATTCTATGATTCTGTGATCATGTGCAAACTCACTCTGGCTGCCTTCAGGCTAGGCTGGATATGTCTTCACGGTATCACTTCATTACTTTTAATGTCATATGGTGCCGAATCTGTTGTTGTGATGACAAAACCCACACACCGATTTAACCTAAAATAGGAAATTCTGATTCCTAACTCTTTTCTGGCTTGCTGACTTTCTTCTTTCTAATTCTAATTGCTTAGCCGAGAACAGGAGGAATCTACCACTGAGGAGGAGCAATTGCCCCAGATCTTTGATGAGCTTCATGATATTCATGTGGCACCTGGAGCACCACTGGCTAAATTTCACCTGAAGGTGAAAGGTGAGGCGAGCCCACAGCACTGTCAGTTGTTCCAGGTTTGCTGTCAGGTTGAAGTGCTGGACAAGGTTTTCCAATGTGTTCTTCTGCAGCTGTAACCCCAGTCCATACGTCTTGCACCACATTTGCACAAACCAACTAGAAGAATGTGTTCATGATGATGAACATTGACTTTTACAGCAGATTCAGGCAGATTAAGTGTCTCATTCTGTGTCCTTGTCTCCAGGCATAATTACAGGCATACGCTTCTGAAAACTGTCCTGTAATTCTCTGAGCACATTAGTTATGGAGGAGCAATAAGGAATAAAAAAAGATAATGAGGGTGTCCTTTATTCTCTTTAATAAATGAAATAGTCCTGGACTTGCCTTACTCTATGAGGGGGTTGCTGCTACAACCTAAAAACTGCAAAAACATCCTCCTGGTGTTGACTGCCTGTGGTAGGGAGAGGTAGGGATTCTCTTGTTTTCTCTGACTGCTGTCTATAAAAATGATAAGAACTGTTTTGGCTTCAACTTTTCTCTTTGTTTGCATTGCAAATCAGACCTAAGTGCTCCCTTTCCAACCCAGAAGGCATTTGCACATGCAGCCAATATGGGGAGTGCCAGAAACTGAAGAGGCAGGAAAGAACTTTAATAGATAGAATTTCATGAATTTGCAGCCATTCCTAATAGGGTTAATCCTTGAAATGGCAGCCCTGGGCAGAGCTGAGGATTCCTTGGCTCCTGCTCGGAAGGATCTGCCTGTCTGGAGATGCTCCCAAATCGATGTTGCCAACAACAACTCCATGTGTGTAACCGCTCCTTGCAGGGTACCCGCAGCCTCGTCTCTATTGGTTCAAAAATGGGCAGCCATTAAAGGCCTCGGATCACATCCTGAAGACTGATAAACAAGAATTCCACTCACTGGAAATTCGTGACATCACTAAGGCAGATGCTGGCCAGTACTCAATATTTGTCATCAACTCTGCTGGTTCTGCATATTCGTCGGCCAGGCTGGTAGTCAAAGGTAGGTATTGGACTATTTTTGGCACCTGCTTTTCTCTATTCCAGTGGCTCTTTCCATTTTATATAGTTATTTCTCTTGAGAAAACCTACCAAGGTAAGTCAATAGGGATGGGGAAGTCTGTAGATAAAAGACGACATGCTTTAATCTTGGTTCACCTATAAATTTACTGTGCATCCCAAAGATGAGACATGTCACTTCTCTAGGGTCTGACTGTTGTCTCATAAACATGCATTTTATTCCTGCCTAACCTCATTAACTTTAATGGTTCCTTTTATTAAAACTGAGGGCCTCTTATAAATCATACTAACATTTCTGTGTAATATCTCCTGCAAGGAGTAATCCCCTGGAGTCACTTTTTTTTTTTCTTCAACTCATGGACAGAAAGATATTTGTATTTGTCATTTCGGGTTTTGTCATTTTGTTTATTCTCCTTGTGTTACAGACCCTGATGAGAAAGAAGAGCCATCAGAAACAGGTGAGAGAGGCCATAGCAGGTGGTAACAGAACCCCTAGGAATTTTGCAGTAGTTTAAACTCACACAGAAGGTGTCACCATGTTTCATCAATAATGTCATTTTCAGATTCCCATGAGCAGCTGATACCACCAAGGTTCCTAGAAAGATTTACTAATAAAAAGGTGAAAAAAGGTGCAAGCATCACATTATCTGTAAAAGTTGAAGGTAAGTGCATAGATAGCTTGCCTCTCTGCATCACACTTAAATTTCATAACTTCATGACACATTCTAGGCTCTCTCTGGCCCAAGTCATCATAACCTCATCTCCTGTATCTGAAGTCTGGGACTCTACTCCCAGCTTTGTAAGAGACTTTATGTGCTTTACAGAAAAAACATCTTACTCATCTTTACCTCCATTTTCCTGTATGTAAAACCACGGTTAATAACACTTATTAGTCTTATGAAGATGTGTTGATTAACAGTTTTGGTTTTACAAAAAGGTTTAATGTCCTTATGACTGTGCTGTAGAAACTTTTACATTCCTTTATTATATATTATGCCTGTTAGTGTTGGAAAAGCATCAGGAAACAGATCAAAATAGCATTTATTCACAGCACAGCTTATAATTGTAAGGAAGGAACACCATTAGGAAAATTAAAGCTCATTGCATTGGCTTTCCTTTAGGACATCCACCACCAACTATTACTTGGCTGAAAGAAGAGTCTCGGGAAGACATCCTGTGGATCAAACCAGACACTCCTGGGTATAAACTTGCCAGTTCAAATATGCATCACAGTCTAATCCTGTTGGATGTTAAAAAGAACTACAGTGGAGCTTACACGTGCATTGCTACCAACAAGGCTGGCCAGTCCATCTGCACCGCCACCCTGGAAGTTGCAGATGGTAAATCTTTGTTACAATACAAACACATTCTCTATGTTACCTTTTATACAGTGCTGAAGAGAAAAACAAGCATGACTGATAAGGAAATTAAATCACAACTGAAAAAAATGCATTTTCCCAAGATTAGCCATGACTTTGCCTTGCAAATGATTACACTCTTTACTTCTGTAATATTTTAAATTTCTCACCCTATCTTGGATTAACAGTAGCATCTTTTCTGTATAAACAGATGACAAGTCCAAGAATCAACCAAGTTAATCACAAAGGAAAAAGAAAGGAAGAAAGGCAATGTAAAGTAACTAGAAAAAGTCACCATTTGAAAAATTATTTTGAGTGTTTCACTCTCCTAAGGTATTTTGCATTGTAGAATTGCCTTAAGGCAGCTAGAGTTGTTTGATTCCCCTTTGTAGAACTTTCCAGGGCCTCTCCTGGCACAATTCCTTCAGTAAGATGGGGGACCAGCAAATACAGGGTGGAAATAGGGGCAGCACTGTGAAGGACTCCATTTTTCTGTTATCCTTCTTTGCACCCCACATTTTTACTGTACCAAGAGCTACAGGAGCATAGCTTAAGCAGTGTAGAGAAATGAGGCAATCGTACATCTACGTGAACAGGGAGAGGAGAAAACTATTTGCATCATATGAGTGGGAGTATGTACCCCAGGTCAGGAGCTGCTAGCAGAACAGATTCAGTATTCCAGTGTTCCCAGTAATCCATGTCTAGAAAATGTGCCTACATTAAATACATAAAAATAACATACTCTAGCTTCTGTCTTCTAATGATAAACCCTAATCTTGCAGTGAAAGAGGCTGAAGTTCTGACCCAGGAGCGTGTGATGGTGTCCGAAGCCATCATGACCACACTGGGGTAAGTGGTTGGCCACCCATGCCGAAGTGGAGCAGTGCAGGTACCACCCTGCAGAAGTTCCCATGAGTCACTTTTCGGCAGTGTTCACTTTGGACATCTTATATTCATGTCTCAGCACCAGAGCTAAAATAGTTTGAGGTCCTAGCATGGAAAGTGTTATAAATACTGTAGTATCAATGTCAGCCATTTATGATTGACTATCAGGGAGGATAGGAACAAGGACAGAAAAAAAAAAAAATGTGGGTAGGTCATATAAAATTCTTGCTACTTTTTCATCTCCTAAGCAGAATGCCAAAAAAATTCACAGGGTCAAGGTCTGACTGTTATTTGCCAACATTGAAATACACTGATGCATCACAGAAAAAGAAGTAGATGAAAGGGGTCTGCGCACAAACTTCTTGTTTGCAAATGCACCTGAATAACCTCAATTCACCATTCTTGGTTTGGATACTAGGCAGATATAGTCTGAAAAGCAGTATCCACCTGAACACACATTAGCTTCTAGAATATGTCTAGCCTAAAAGGCTTGACCAGTCTTCCTTTGAAGAAGTGTGAAGAAAGTAAAGAAAGCTGTTAGCTATTATTATTAGCTATTCAGCTATTCCACTGCAACCTCTCCTAAGGATGTGCCCAGGCTCTGTCAGGCATACTTAGTGATATATGGTTTACCACATATCAGGTGAAGTGAGGTTCCTCCTGCTTCCTATGTACTCACAGAGAATTAGGGCAGATGAGCTTGTGCAATACAAATTTATATCCTGTCTCCAAAAAGCAAAGGAATGTGAGAGTTATTGATTTCAGGATGTGTTCTGACAGAGCTGTATTCTTGGGAAACACCACAAACACTCTTCATCAGATGCAAGCAAATGCTGGTAGTTCTTCACATCTCTGAAGCCATTTTCAATCAGTGTTGATAATATAGTCTCCTGCCCCTTTCTTGCTGGCGTGAATGAATTTGGTGCTGGTAAAAGCTGTCAGGGCCTCTTTGGGCCTCAAAACCACTGCAGTACCAGCAGTCAGGTTGCTTCCCCAACACACGGGCATCCTCATGTAACGGGAGCAGATCTCTTGGCAGGACCACAGCATCTGCATATGCTCCAGTCCTCGGTTTCCTGATGAAGCCACTGGAAATTGTTGAGCATTAGTTCTCTGAAAGCTGACTGAGACTACAGATCCCACTTGACATAATGTCTCCAATTTCAGTGGAAGCTGAGAATAAAGTCCCAGTAGCACCAAGCTGCTGGAGGCCACTTCGTTCTGCCACCCACCCCCTGAGCAGCCAGGTCTTCTTAAGCAACAGTTTGAAATAGAAGTCAGGAATAAGGAGAATTCTCAGATAGGATTTGGCTCAAAGACTGAGACACCCACGTGTTTCTGGCCCATATGAGCCAGGTGCCCCAGGTCTCGTTTCTTAGAGCGGCCCTGGTGAGTATCGGCTACCAGCACCTGCAGTCCAAACCAGAGTCCTTAGATATTTCCAGCCTTCACGTACAAGGTGTGAGAAGGAGGGGGTGTTTCTCATTTAGCTCTCCTTACTACACATTTTAACTTTCACCTCTGCTTTACTCTTTCTTTTTCAGAGCTATTCATCCCTCTGAAACAAGAGAAGGTAAGAGAAGCTATTTTCTCTCTCCTGCTCCTGCCCTTCACATCTACAGCTGAGATTGTCTATGTATTTCATGATTGCCACCTACTTTTGTCCCGTTTTCTTGAAATTGTCTGAAATGTTGGAACTTTTCAGGACTGGTCTCTGTTCAAGGGTGAATTATTTGGATGAAATGTGAGCAACCACAGTTTTAAAAACAGGGGAAGTGAAGAAAATTAGACCTTCCTTGCACAGAAGCTTTTGTTACTCAAAAAAGATGACTTTCCATTGACATTGCCTGCTTAATAGAAAATTCTCTATTTCCAGGAGACCTTGAAGCTGGTAGAGAAGGTGTACCCAAAAGCCCTATTTCATTAGCTGATGTTGGCTCAGAAGAGTTCTTCCAGAAACTCACCTCGCATATCTCAGAAATGGTATCTGCAAAAATAAGTCAGGGTAAGGAACCTGGCAAACACAATTTAATTAGTAGAGAAAAATATGCAATTTTTTTTTTTTTAGGTATTATGTGGACTGATATTTAATCACTGAGATTTATGAAGCAGATTTTGAGGCAGTCATCCTACATAAGCATATGAACATTTGTAAATGCTTAGGACTAAGAATTTTTAGTAAGAGTCCATCCAAACTGCATGTCTTAGTCTACAGTTTTGAACTAGAAAAAAGCTATTACAGTAAACTAGGATGTTTAGTGTCCATTTTCTGCATACAGTGTTTATTTAAATAAGCAGGGGTAACTGTAAGCTTTAGACTGGAGACCAAGTTGTAAAAATGGAAGTGTATTTTGAACACATGAGGCATTTTGAGTTCCTCAGATATTCATCACTCCTGAGTCTGAAAGCAATCCTGTTTTGAAGACTTCCCACATCTTCAAGTTTTAGCTCACAATGGGATTTTAAAATCAAGTTGAGGATGAAAACTGTGCGCAGCTGTGCAGTAATCCAATGATTTGTTGAATTAAATGAAAAATCCTGGTTTGTATATCTTATATGGATTATCCTGTAGTAAAATTTTATCTTGAAAAAAATAGAGGTATTACCTCTCCTACAAATACTCTTGCAGTGCCGTGGCAATACATGCGATAGGCGTGCAAACTCATGTATTAAAATGTCCTTATTATTTATTTAAACCTAAATATCAATAGGAGATCATACTAAATCCTACAAATGCTCTTCCTAGGGAATATTTGATTTTATTAAATTGAAAATTATTATAGATTCGGTTTGTGTTCGAATTGGAGATCTTTATTTTACACTTTGCTGTTGCTCTGCTTTTTAGCTACACTTCGAGTGCCAGGTGCAGAAAGTGATGATGAGTCAAAAACTCCCTCTGCATCTCCTCGCCATGGACGATCCAGACCTTCATCCATTGCTCAGGAGTCCTCCTCTGAATCTGAAGATGGGGATTCCAGAGGAGAGGTATATCTTTATGAACAAGTTTGACACAAGGAGAAAACTTTACTTAGAATGACCAATCTCCTATGGTTTAAGGGTCTCCATCCCCTTTAGGGATGAACTTCACTTTAGTAGGTATATTCAGTAGTTAAATATTGGGTCTGTGATGCAGAGCACAGAGAATCAAATTCTGATGCTCATTGTTGTGATCTTGAACGAGTTGTTCAAAAACATACCTATTATTTGGCACCTTTTGCTTTCACGGCTGAGCTTCAGAAAGTCAGAGTTTGATTTTCTGTGGCCTTGGATAGAGTTGGTCAAAAGAATTTTGTTGAGAAGTTCTTAATGAGAAAAATGAGGATTTTGTGAAAATTAGACCTTTCTGGGTGTTCATTTCAGACACTTCCTAAAAAAAAGAATAAAGCTGGAGAATAAAACATTAAACACAGATAAGCACTTATGTTCTGCTGGTGTTAGTGTACTCTTTCTTCATAGCATAAAATAACTGTCACTTCATGCCTGCAGATCTTTGACGTCTACATGGTCACAGCTGACTACGTGCCCGCTGCACCTGAGAGGGAGACCATCACTTTGAAGGAAGGCCAATATGTGGAAGTCCTTGATTCAGCTCATCCTCTGAAATGGCTGGTCAGGACTAAACCCACAAAATCTAGCCCCTCTCGACAGGGCTGGGTATCTCCAGCTTATCTGGACAAGAAATTGAAGGTGACTGATCACGCTGTGTTTATTTTTCATGTAAAATTACTTGCTCCTGTTGCAGTTTAGAGCCATCCCTTCTGCAAGGAGTGATGGATGAGGAGGTTGTTGAAGGGGTTTGTAACATGATTGGACTTTTTCATGTTTTGATGAGACAATATTTCTGTATGTGTGCAGGGGTGCCTGGGTTTGAAAGACCTAATGATGCTCCAGCAAAGAGAAAATTCACACTGGTTTAAGAATTGTTGAAAGGGACTGTGAACACCTGAGGGACCTTCCTCAGTGCGCATTGATAAAAGCACCGTTAACTTAAAAGAATATTTCTTTTTTTCTTGTTTTTTTTCAGTTGTCACCAGAGTGGGGAACAACAGAAGCTCCTGAGTTCCCTGGAGAGTTTGTTTCTGAAGACGAATATAAAAGGAAGCTAGGGTGAGCTCGTGTCATTTGGTATTTGCACCTTTCAGTTTTCCTGCCTTTTGAACTAACACAAGTGTTGACATCGAGGTTCCTCCTGTCAGAGTCACTGTTTTTTGTTCTGCTGAGTCCTGCCACCTCCCCTTTCCGAGAATCAAGCAAACACTTGAATCCCTCAGACTTGTAATTTGTGATCTTTGATTGGGTTTTGCCATTGATTTCATCCTAGGAAAATTCCAGGCAATCTAAATCACATTGAATGACTTGAAAGGAGGGTTTTATATGATGTAATATTGGAAGCTCTCTGGTTTCACAAAATCCTAAACTACAGTACCTCTGTACTTTGGGGTGTCCTATATCTGAGAATGATGCCTAAAGAGGGAGTGAAAGCACTCAACCTTGTGTTACTCCCTTGCAGTGCAGCACACTATTGTCCTCTCATGGAGACATTTTCTTTCTTGATTACATGAAGTGGCACTGAAGTTGCTACTGTCCACATTACACAGGTCCTTCTGTTGCTCACACTCTATTTTATCTGCCCTAACAGCAGACACCTGTAAGGTAGAGGTAGGTGTCATTCCATGAGCAGGGTGTCTAAGTTCCTCTTATGGTCAGAGGGGATCTAGTCAACACGCTCCAGGCAGTCTGTTTCTCTGATCATATATCTCTACTTTAGAGCCTAGAAGTCTCTCAGCACATCAAGGATAATTGTGATGATTTTTCTGTGATTTCTTTTTGCCTATTTGTCTTCCCTTCAGTGTTCTTATTCAAGAGCTGTTGATCTCAGAAGAGGATTACATTCAAGATCTACAGTTCCTCCAGACTCATCACCTTAAGTACACTGAGACCTGTCCCAGTGTTCCAGGAGCTGTCGCCAGTCAGAAATCCACCATCTTCAGAAATATTGATGACATTGCTCGCTTCCATTCCAGGTGGGCATTCCCGCGTGCCTTCATTGCAGACCAAAATGTGGCTCACATACCTGGTGTCAGAGCCACAGTAACTATCGTTACTGTGAAGGATGTGGAGCACTGGCAGTGCTGATGGGCAAGGATGCTGATGGTCCTTTTGAGATGACAGATGATGGCATAGCTTAAGTCAGAGCACAGGGTTGGGACTCCTGTAATACCCTTCAGAGCTTCAAGGCTTCATATGCCTGGCTTATTTCCTACCCTTTTAAGCAAATTTAATTGAGAAACAGTGAATTATTATAAAAAGGCAACATGGTCTTACAGGCACTTCACTAGTGTCTTCATGGAGATACAGGTTCATCTAAAACTGGTGCCAGCGTCCATGCGTTCAAAACACATCCAGCTGTAGCAGGCTGCCCAGGTACAACACTGTGGCACGATGCCTCTGCCTACTCCAAGAAAGGATTTACCACAGATCTGCTGTTCACAAAGCAACTTCCCAAAGTCCAGGCTGAAATACTTTTACTTGCCAGGGAGAGGAGGTGTTGTACAATGTCTTATGTGCATTAGGTTTTCTATTGCTAAGGGGCCTCCTTTTGTACCTCCATACCCTTGCTTAAATGGGAAGTGATCGTTCTCATGGGAAGTCCCTGCCAACAGCATGAGAATCACCCTTTCTTCCCCGTTTTCCTAACCTGTGGTCCTAACTTTTGGTTTACCTCGGGGGGGGGTCAATAATATGCACGCACAAAGCTCAACAACCAGTGAGCGTGCAGCATCTTCCCTGATCAACGTGTGCTCCGATCAGTGCTAGCAGCGTCGTGAGCAGGAGCGACCAATAAGGGGTTTGAGCAGGTTGCGCTGGAAAGTAGATCGTTACTCCAGGAAAAGCATGATGGGGGGGCACTGCTTCTGCAATGGGGAAACGCTTATGTGGGACATCTGGCACTTTTCTTGGTTGGGCCACGAGAATAGATTTCCCTTCTCTTTCCTCTCTCTCTCTCTTCTCCCTCCATCTCCTTTTGTTTTTCCCCAAAAGTAACTTCAGCTGTGAGTGGCGATGCATGTTATCAGCTACCAACACTGCTAAAAATCTTTGTGCATGTGAACCTATCTCAACATCTTTTGTGAAACAGAGTAGGGTTCTCTATCTTCACTCACGTGGATGGCTCATCGATCATTAAACTGAGGCATAAGGATCTGGGGAGGGCTTACTTCCCAACTTAAGCTAAGCCCTTGAAAATTATCCCTACCTTCCTTGCAGGGAATTTCATACATTCAAGCTGAGAGGGGACAGCATCATGCTGGATGGAGAGGCATTGAGAAGTTTAATGTTAATGTGGCAACATCCCTCGTTTCCCCCAGTCATTTTCTTTAATCTGTGTTAACCTGAAATTGCCTGATTTAAAAGTCTGGCTGCTGGGGCTGTGTTCTAGCCTCATTCCATCACCTTCTCCTCAGATGTCCTTTTTTCTTTGTCTCCACAGTGTCTTCCTCCGAGGCTTGCAGAAATGTGACACTGACGATGACGTGGCCATGTGCTTTATCAAGCACGAAGCAGAGTTTTATAAGTACATCCAGTACCTGGTGGGGAGGGTACAGGCTGAGTCAATTGTTGTCAGCAAAGCTGTCCAGGATTTCTACAAGGTAAAACAGTAGCCAAAGCACCTGCT